TTTGGTGTAAGGCTTTTCAAATTAAAATGTTTTATCACCGCTCGAAACTCTGTTTTTTTTCATTTTTTAAATAAACCAATAACTTTTTGTTCAAACAACGCTCACAAAAAAATGACTTAATGAATCGAGCTAAAACTTTGTACGATATCTAGTTAGTAGTATTGCTTGCCATAAACATCATAATTTAAGCGTGACGTGCGCCATCTCTTGGATTTTGTAAAGAATGTACCGGGGTATGACCGTTTAATTATATTATTCGCGCAATTACACTAAACGGACGCGCGTAGTTAATCGTATGCTCAATAGGTAAATCGGAGAGCATGCAAAGACAGGCGCCAGTCAACCAGTAAGTTCTCTTATCGAAGGAAAGTGAGTGGAAGCTATGAGATATAAGAGAATCAAAAGAAAACACTTGTTAGTAATATGAACTAGATCTTTTATTATTCCTTATAATCTACAGAAGGTCGGCCCGCGCGTTTGTTTACGTTGACGCTCGCTCATCGACAACACGCTTTGCCGGTACGCTCGCTGCTCTTTGTTATTAGAGCCGTTACATGCACGCATCGAAAATTAGAAATTGATTATTAATCACGCAATCGCGATCGCGAAATTAAGCTGGCCAGCTTACCTTATATTTGCAGGCGATCGGAGAACAGAGCGACAAATCGCACAGCACGGAACAGTTTTTAATGTTTAGTTCGCGGGTCGCGAATGCGCGCACGGAATGGTTTCGCCCTCGATGGCGAAACCTCACACACACACACTCGGCTTGGCCTCAAGCTGGTAGCTGGATGGCTCCTTGGCGGCTACAGTCCTGGATAACTGGCTCTCAGCTGGATATCACTGTCTCAGCGTATGGTGGTCAAGGGCACGTGAATCGGCGGCGGTAATAGCGAAAGCGGGCGGACACAACAACGGTCAATGCTTCACTGGTTCGAATTCTATCGCGCGCATTCCGTCTGCTCGCGTGCCGAATTCCTTCGTTACGTGTTTCGTCCCCCCAGGTGCTGCTCTCACAGGCAGCAATTAAATTAGATTATCAGCGCTAATTTGACGTTTACCGTCACAGCCCCCTTCCAGTCTGGGCCTACAGGGTCCTCGACGATAATTCCATTAGCGCTGCCCCTTCCGAGGAGGAGAATGGAAAGGATAATAAAGAGTTATAGTCCAAGTGATGTTAAATTTGTACTTTATTGTACAGCAGGGCGATATATCGGTGGCCCTGCCCACGGGGGCAGGGAATCATCACCTAGCTGGTCTCGGTGGCAGTTCCTGACCTTGGTCATCCAACGGGGGTCGGCCGCGCGCCTCCCACCCCAGCCTCTCTTGGACCAGGTCGGCGTGTTGTCGCACGCGTGGGCAGCGGTCCGTGCGGGTCACCCCGGGGTAGTGGCACACGTTGCACTCTTCCCACTGAGCGCGGGAAAGGGTGCCCCGTGGGAGACATCGTTCTCTCGGGGTCAGAGGCAACCCGTTTCTACGGTTCGGGGCGTACCACAACGGTCTTTCAACCGTGGGGTCCTCACACGCAGGGCCTAAAACCACATTGATGTGGATGGGCCCAGTTGCTTGACCGCCCTGGCTCCCGTCCACATTCACCACCAGGTTTACTCCGCACGTTTGCGGGACCTGGTGCGACGTGATCCGCGACCTGGCTTCCGGAGCCGTTGTCCTGGCTCCGGCGATCGGAGGCTGAGGGAGGCTCGTGTGATTGCCACTCGCCGGGCCCTCGATGGCCTGGCGGTGGCGCTGTAGGACCTCCCTAAGCGCCGACGCGAACTGGCGACGGCGGGACACCACCTTCTCCCAATGATCCAGGTCATCTGGGTAGTGCCCCGCAGCTGTGTACGCGTCGTACTCGGCGTACACAGCCCATTGGAGGGCGTTGAGGGTTGTTCAGCCTCGCTCGACTTCCCTCAACCCCTCAACTATCTCCTCCCAGGTCCTTTTGCCAGACGGGGGCGTCTGGCTAGGGAACCTGGGGCGCCAGGTCGCGTCTGGGGCACCCTCTTCTGTCTGGGTGCCCACGGATGCCGTCGGGGCCTTCATGGGGATGGGTCCCGCTAGGGGTCTCGACGGTGGCGCGGCGTCGTCGCGCGTGATTAAGCTGGCCAGCTTACCTTATATTTGCAGGCGATCGGAGAACACAGTGACAAATCGCACAGCACGGAACAGTTTTTAATGTTTAGTTCGCGGGTCGCGAATGCGCGCACGGAATGGTTTCGCCCTCGATGGCGAAACCTCACACACACACACTCGGCTTGGCCTCAAGCTGGTAGCTGGATGGCTCCTTGGCGGCTACAGTCCTGGATAACTGGCTCTCAGCTGGATATCACTGTCTCAGCGTATGGTGGTCAAGGGCACGTGAATCGGCGGCGGTAATAGCGAAAGCGGGCGGACACACCAACGGTCAATGCTTCACTGGTTCGAATTCTATCGCGCGCATTCCGTCTGCTCGCGTGCCGAATTCCTTCGTTACGTATTTCGTCCCCCCGGCAGGTGCTGCCCTCACAGGCAGCAATTAAATTAGATTATCAGCGCTAATTTGACGTTTACCGTCACAACTTATTAACCCCCTCTCGTAAATTTGGAGTACGAATTAGAGTTTTCGAGCTCTAATTGCCAGCGCCTACGGCCGCATAGTCATATGTAGTGCGCTTGATTAATCGAGCAATCGGCAGTATTAAAAATAAACAAAATGCATCAGGGTATTTATTAATCAAAATATAAGTTTTGGTGTTCATTTTCCATTCGGTATAATGATAAAAAATGGTGCTATGAAGTTGTAAAATTCAAAGATGATCGTAACAACTAATTTTTTTTTGGAAATATGTAAAAAGTTATAAATAATATTAAATTAAAAAAAAATTAAGCAAAATAAATTTTGAAAACGTTATTAAGAAATAACACGTCGAAAAAAAAAGTAAAAATTCTTGCAATAACTTTTTAATAGTTTGAATAAATAAATTCACAATAATTTTTCATAATTATTATAATTTAACTCTTAATAGAGGAAAGTAGTCGATAATCATCACTGTACATGCATATAAAACCCGCAACATTTTGTCTTGCGAGAGCGCCTTTTTTTCAAAATTGGCTATATCTAAATAAATAATCAATATTTTCAAATTTTACGGATATTTTTTTAGATTAATACGAGCTTTTAATATACAAATAAAATAAAATGTGCTGATAGTTTATGAGATCCATAGTAACTGTATTTTCAAAGATTTTAAATATATCGCGAAAATTAACAATTTGTGAATAGGTGAATATATTAATCCATAGGTTTTTTTAATGCCTATAATTTTCCATTCAATGTTTTCAAATCGCAATAATAGTTTTGAAGATATTTTCAAAAAATCAATTTTCGCAGCTTTGCAAATTTTTTTCGCAAAGGTTCGCTGTCCGACTTGAAGTGGTATGAAAAAGAAACTTATTATTTTTGCATCTACTATACAAATCCATTTTTTGTTTTCAGGCAATATTTTTTTAAATTTTTTTGATAGAATGCTTGGACTACAGGTGTTTATAAGCAAAACTATTCATACAGCGACATTTTTACTCCTAAATAACAACAGTTCTGTTCAAAGACCAACTAATTAATATGAAAAATCGCTTCTGTTATATTTTACATATCAAATATTTTACTGATAAAATACTGCAACGGTAGTCGATTCAATAAATCGATCCGTTCGCGATTCTGCTTCTCGCGCGTAAGCTCGAACAATTAAGAGAGAGAGGGGGCGCGCGATCTTTTGAATAAGCAGTTACGCCTCAGCTGTTTGCGTGTCGATACCGCCGATTTTTATTTTGCATTGTGTTCGCCTATTGATAAGTTTTTCTAGGACAAACTTTACGTGCGTGGGTGCAACTAAGTTATTGCAGCAAGCAACAGCAGATTGGCAGAAGCAAAGTTAAAGCTGATAGGAGAGCGAGGCAGCGCAGCTGATAATTAGGAGGGCAGCGGCAGTTGATTATTCATCATCAACAATTACGGCTGATCACCGTAATTGCACCGCAGGGAGGTGCACCTCCCTTCATTATTGCGTGACAAAATACATTCGGTGTTTGTCAATCGTAATAGCGATTTTTTTGTATTCGCGCCGAGCGTTAGTTCGCGGTAAAATTTGAATCTTCTTTCTCTCTCTCTCTCACCGAATAATATTCATTGTAAAATCCTATTCGCGTGCGTTAGTTATTTGGCCCAACAAAGACTGTCATTATTTTTATTAATTAAAGTTAGTCAAATCTATTCGCCGATTACGTCATTTAATTTTCCCAGTAGCTTAAGCAATTTGTAAAAGACTTAGGTTTTAATCCGATTACGTCTAGGGAATTAAGTGGATTAGGCGTAAAGTCGCCCACACCTAAGATTCATCGAGTGTCACAAGGCACGTGACTTAAGGTGAGTTCAACTCCGTTCGATAGAACTAAGATAGACAATTAAGCGAAATCATCAGACGTAAAGGCGAATATACGTACAATCATACGTGTTTAACGGAGCGGCGGTTAACTCTGCACCGTGGGAGTTTGTTATTAAATAAATTTCCCATTTTTTTAGATAACCTCCCCCGTTACAATACATAGAGCAGAAGTTAGTAAATAAATGCATAAAAATTAGTAAATAATGCATAAAAGTAGCTAGACGTCACTTTGTGGCACTACTTCCAGATCTCGATATTGAGGTCTTCTTTCCTGTTAACAAATACACTAACAGTCATAATTGTCATTTATAATCGATATATGAAACTTTCACAGTAGGAATATTTAAGGTAATTCAATTTTATTGTAGATAAATCTTTATATGTTTCAAAATTTTGCATTTGCACAGAATTTACCCTGAATGTACAAGAAACATGTAATTACACAAAAAACACTGGTTCTTAATATAAAATTAATTAAAAAATTCATAATATGGATACATATATGCATGTAATTATGTAATTTATTTAAAAAAATATATTAAAGTTGTTTTATATTTTTATATTTCATTTCAGTGATAACGTTAACACAGATATTTATGGTGCGAATCTTTATAATAGATACTTAATGGAGCTTGATACATTTAGTGAAGCTGATAACATTCATCAGAAATTGCCAATAAGAGAGAAATCTAATGAATATAGCCATAAAAATTGCATTAGTGTATTGGTTGAAACTGGAGTTCATAATCGAAATTCAATAGTTTTTCCAAATCATTGTCACAGGAATTTCTTGCCAGTTGATGAATCATTAATTGTACCAACTCTAACGGTGCCTGATGTAACATGTGCAATTAATTTTATTTTGACAAAAGAAAATTTTGAATAATCTATTATATTTTAGTTATAATCAAACCTTCGAGTTATTATAATAATTATTAAAATTATATGAACTGTTCAAATATGAATTTTTATCCATCACCTTCGATTGTTATAAAAGCTAGTTACGTTTCAGATTAACCGTAATATGCTATTACATGAGCCATCATTGTAACAAACGACGTCAAAATAAATAAATTCTAAAATCTTATAATCGAGTAATTATAAAATGATGATTGTGAATTTATTCGTAGGAAACATAGCACTTTAGGAAAAAATTACTAAGCACCAAAAATGTTTAGAATTGGCCTAGGAGTATATCTAAAATTGTTTCGTAATGATTCAAGGGATTTTTTAAATTTATCAAAAATTGAGAATTTGCAAAATAAAAAAAGTTTATCCTAACTTCTCGAAAAAATTTAGGTATATCTTTGGCTAATTCTAAACAATTTATCTTTTAAGAAGTTTTTTCGTAAAATGCTTCGTTTCCGACCAAGAAATTCATTAATATTTCGGAAAAAATGTTACAATTTGCGTGCCATTTTCAAATGTCTAATTGATTAAAATTACTTCGACATCCCAAATCCTTTAGATTCGGACATCTTGTCTACGATCTAGACCGGTTCGAAGTTAATTCCAAATCAGTAACGATGAAAACTCGATTTGAAAAAAAATCATTTTCGATAATAGTGATGTTTTTATTTTAAACAATATTTTTCAGCATAAAAATGAAGTTCTTCGATAATTTGAATTGTACCATCAAAAATAGTACACGTCAAACTATGATAATACACCTTTTATGATTTTTTTTGCTTCGGAATACAATAGCTGTGAGTGCTGAAAGAGAGATGTACAAATTTTACTAATCCTGCGGCATTTCCAGATGTTTCCCTAATAATACATGTTTGACCTTTATTTGACCTCTAGGGTTGTCCTTGACCTTGGACCTCGATATATATTTGAATGAAAAATTTTCCGCTCTTACAAATGCCGCTATGAGAAAGAGGGGTTTCCATTTGAGAAAAAGTTGACCTTGAAATAACCTTGAAGGTGAGGTTCAAGGTCAAATCCAAGGTCACCATTGAATTCCTTGCAAAAAGTTAGGAAAGATCTGACCCTAACCTTTTTCAAATACGAGGTGTGTTCAAAAAGTAGGGTGACTGTATTTTTAAGAAAAAATATTTATTTATTTATCAATATTTATGTTGTCCCCTAAAAAAGTAATCCCCCTCAGATACAATACACTTATGCCAACGGTTTTTTCAATCCTCAAAGCACTTCTCATAAGCACTTTTCGGTATAGCCTTGAGCTCTTCCAGCGATGCAGTCTTTATCTTTTCAATCGTTGCAAATCTCCGTCCTTTCATAGGTCTCTTTAGTTTTGGGAATAAGAAAAAGTCACATGGGGCCAAATCCGGTGAATATGGTGGCTCAGGCATGATTGTGGTGTTGTTTTTGTCCAAAAAATCTCTCACAAGCAAAGATGAGTGAGCAGAGGCATTATCGTGATGCAAAAGCCATGAATTGTTTTTCCACAATTCTGGGCGTTTTCTTCGTATTGCTTCTCGCAAACGGCGCATAACTTCAAGATAATACTGTTTATTGACCGTACGTCTATATGGTAAGAACTTCTGATGCACCACGCCATGGTAATCGAAGAAAACAGTGAGCAAAACTTTGACATTTGATCGAACTTGGTGTGCTTTTTTCGGTCTTGGCTCATCTGAGCTCTTCCATTGGGACGATTGGACTTTGGTTTCGATATCATAACCATATACCCATGATTCATCACCAGTTATGACCCTTTTGAGTAAATCTGGGTCGTCGTTGACGTCATTCAACAGTTCTTGAGCGATGCTCATGCGACGGTTCTTTTGGTCAAAATTTAGCAATTTCGGAACAAACTTCGCTGACACACGTCTCATGCCCAAAACGTTAGAAAAAATTTCATGGCACGAGCCAAGCGATATACCAACATCCTCAGCAACTTCTCTAATAGTGATTCGACGATTTTCCAAACAATTTTCTTCAGTGCTTGAACGTTTTCATCAGTTGTTGACGTGCTTGTGTGTCCAGAGCGAGGCTCGTCATTGGCATCTTCCCGGCCATCTTGGAAGAGTTTGTACCACTTGTAAACATTTTTTTTACTCAGAACAGTTTCACCGTATGCCACCGTCAACATTTCAAGTGTTTCGGAGCACTTTATTTTATTTTTTACACAAAATTTGATGCAAATCCTTTGATCCATATTTTTCGATAGCAAGAAATCGCCGAGCACGCAAAACACTTATAACCTCTACGCCTCTCACAACCAAATAAAAAATGCTATACACTTGAAACTTGGTACAGATGTTCGGGAAGAGTGTACCAACATAACAAAACAAAAAAATCGATAATCGAAAGTACGTTGCCCGTGAAATTTGAAAAGTCACCTTACTTTTTGAACACACCTCGTGAATAATATCAATAATTTTCACTTGTATAACGTGAGCCCGCACCCCGCGTCTGCCGAAATGCTAAAAGCGCAGGCAAAGAGATATGCACGGAGATACGCGGTGCAGATGAGCACTCCAAAATTAAAGTGCACACGAGCACAGTTAGTGAGGGTGCATGATCGGTAATTGAGGTAGCAAGCGCGCCACCTAACGAGTCTCAACTACACGCGTCACAACCCAAGCAGTCTGACTCCTCGTATAGCCGTTCAGAGTTTTTTGCGTGTGGTAGGACTGATTGATTAGTTGCAACAGTAGTGTTTACGCTTAGTCACGATTTGATTTTAGTTGCGGATTTTTAGAATAAGTGGGACATAAATATCAGTTATAGTAATCGTGTTTAGCCGACAGGTGACCAAGGCGATTGGTATCAGCTAGCAGAGCGATACAGCAAAGCGGTAGATGTTTTTACAGAATGCCCAGGTTTAGGTAGATACGAAAAGGCCCAGCGAGGGACAATCATGGCGTTAGTTCGCCGGATTGTTTCTGAGCCTGGTAAATCACCGGCGGTTATGAAGGTTATCGAGCACATCATAGACGTAGGTGATGTGGGCCCGATAACGACGCCGATGCGCCGAATGTCGCCTCCAATATAAGCATTCACGCAGAAAGAAACAATGCGGTTATGGAAGGCGAAAATAATTAGGCCATTGAACAGTCAATGGAGTAGCGCGCCGGTAATAGTACGTAAACAGGACGGTGGTTATAGATTTTGCCTTGATTTTAGACCGGTAAATAAAGTCACGAAAGTAGATGCTTATCTGATGCCTAGCATTGATGCTATCTTGGACAGGTTGCGCTGAGCAGTCTACCTGTCGAAGATAGATCTACCAGCGGCGTTTTGGCCAATTCCGCTATCGGAAAATAATAAACAGTATACGGCATTTGCAATTCCAGGTCTAAGTCTATGAGAGTTTGAGTGAATGCCGTTCAGTTTGGTCAATGCACCGGCTACTTTCACGCGCCTTATGGATGCGCCTTTTGGTCCAGAGTATGAGCCGCACGTTTTCTGGTATCTCGATGACTTGCTAATAATCAGTGCAGACTTCGACAGTTATGTGCTTTGGCTAGAAAAGGTTTTGAAACGTTTGATCAGTGTTGGATTAGAAATCAACTTAGAAAAGTCTGATTTCTTTTGTACCGAGGTAACTTATTTAGGGTATCGATTAGATAGTGAGGGTTTACGTCTGGATGATGACAAGGTAAAGCCATATATTACCTCGCGCCGAATAACGTAGCTCAATTGCGCCGTATCCTAGGTATAGTAGGATGGTATGCGCGTATTATCGAACACGAGAGTGAGATAAAGGTCCCGTTGACCAAGCTTATTCGAAAGGTCCAACCGTTGGAATGGAAAGAGAAAGCGCAGGGTGCATTTGAGAGGTCGAAGCGCGCGTTAACAGAGGCGCAAGTTTTCGCGCGCCCTGATTTTGCGTACCCCTTTTACTTGCACTGCGACGGCTCTTCCTTTGCGGTTGACGCGTGTTTGGTTCAGATATTCAACGATGGCGAGCATCCAATATGTTACGCCAGTCGGATGCGAAACGCGCACGAGCGAAATTACACGTGAGAGAAATCAAATTTTTGGCAGTACTTTTTGCGGTAAAAAAGTTTAGACCTTATATAGAAAGTTCACATTTTTTTATGGTTATGGATCATAGCGCCCTCACTAGGATTTTAAATAAACGGGAATTAATAGGTCATTTGGAAAGGTGGGTGCTAGAGTTTCAGCAGCTAGACTGTGAAATCTTTCATAGAAAGGGAGCAATGCATCACGTGCCAGATGCACTCTCGTGATAATTGAAGGACGAGCTTGAGGTTTCCGCATTCGATAAGATACAGGATGCTTGGTATCTACAACGCATAAAGGATGTTCTTCAAAGACCGAAGAAATTCGAGAATTGGAGAGTAGAGAATAACATCGAATAGCTCGTGAGTATTACTGGCCAGGAGTGTATGATGTGATTACGTTCGTAGATGAGAGCTCACAATGTCCGAGGTACAAGGTAGTTTAGCAGACGCCTCAAGATTTTATGGGTGTTTACGGGCGTGGTAGAAAGACCCTAGACTGTGGTAACAACTGACGTGGTAGAGCTGCCCCGTATCGATAATCGAAAGTACGTTGCCCGTGAAATTTGAAAAGTCACCTTACTTTTTGAACACACCTCGTATACCTTACCGCAAAAAATACAGGACCGTTTCGGTACTTTTGTTACGCCCTGTATATACAGGATGCCCCTTTTTAACTTGGACCATAGAATAACTAAAAACATTGCCAAGTATACGAAAAATGATTCAGGTAAAAGTTGTATAGTTCAGAGGGGTTCAACTGACAAGGACATCAAACTTGACCTTCAATGTGATTTTCAAGGTTATTTGAAGGTCAACTTTATTTTCTCACATATTGTCAAAATACAAAACTTTAAACATCGATATCTCAACGAAAAAAAAAATTTTTTAATTTGAAAGAAAGGTTTTGAAGGGTTAGAGTTCTTCTTTGAGATGCCGTCGGCTGTTTAAAAAACAAAAAACTTTTAGTAGAGATCTGATATAACCTTAAAGTTAGCCAGAAACAGTGTTATTTGCAATTTTAGATTAGGATATCTCGAGAACCTGACGTGACTCTGCTGCCGGATTTGGATTCAGCGACTCAAAAACCTTCGGGAGTACCTAG